AAAGTCACTAACGTTAATAGGATGATTATTAACGAATGTTTGGTGAGGGAACTACACTTTTCGACATTTGGATCCCGACGATTTATGAACTGCCTGTGGAAACTTTGATTAGATACTCCGGAGTACTAGTAGCACAATACAAAGTTGAAGTACAACACATGGCTGAAGTTGAATATTCTTGCCAGACGTTGTAGATTCTTGATTAGTTGTTGACTCGAAAAAGGCGCTCAAGACCCCTCGACCAAGGCCTCAAGGCTGGGACACCCCCCCTTTCAGACAACTTAAGGCAAGTGCCGGAATATCATTGACTCGAAACTGGAAGCGCGCATCGTCCAACTGAAGACGTCACTTTGCCATTTACCTTGCATTCACCTGATGGCCAACATTCTTGCTTTCCTCGCCGTGTTTGCCGCCATGGCCACTGCGACCGTGAACGAAAGCGACGCCCCCCAGAACACGACGGCCTCATTTTTTTGCTGGAAGCATACGTACACACGCGGTGTTGGCCGTGTGCCGGGATCGTGCGCGGCCGGACAAGAGCCCCTGGGTCTATTTTGCTATGACAAGTGTCCAGCGGGCATGACCCGCGTAGGCTTCGACTGCCACTCGAAGTGTCCCGGTTGGCTCGAGGACCAAGGACTGTTTTGCCGCTACAGAGAATACGGCCGGGGGTGGGGGTTCCCGTGGCGTCTTTTCGAACCTCTGGACTCCAGAGGCATGTTGGGCCGCTGCCAAAGTTGGTACGGGAAAGGCAACTGCGAAGTTTATGGGTTAATGGCGTACCCCAAGTGTCTTCCAGGCTACTATCCGTTTGGTTGTTGTATCTGTCGACCTTCTCCTCCCGACTGCGACGCCATTGACATGGCCGGCAGATTTGACTTGTCGTGTGCCAAGAAAATCACGATTGGGACGCCTCACTTGGGTACGTGCGCTGCCAACGAAGACCTCGATGTAGGGTTGTGCTACCCTAAGTGCAAACCCACCTACAAGGGTATTGGTCCAGTGTGCTGGGGCCGCCCTCCTCCTTTGTGGGAGGACTGCGGCATGGGGGCCGCAGTAACCAGTTCTCACTGCGCCGCTGTCATCGCCAACCAAGTTCTTTCGGTGGTGGTGCTTGCCGCCAATATCGCCTCACGGTTTGCAGGCAGTTCGGTCAAGGTGCTCACTAGCATTGCGAACCCGGCCCAGGTCTCCAAGTTAAGATCGTTGTGGTACAAAGCCCTGCCGTACCTCGCGAAGAAAGTCTTACCTAAGGTAGTCAAATATTTCGGAACCAATGTTGGGACAATGGCGGTCTATCATAACGTCTTTCACGACGACAATGCCACCTTCACCAACGAAGACTTCGCACGTACCGCAATTGCCCTCGTAGCCGTCATGGATAAAAGTGGCATCTTGGATGTCGTAGCGGCCGACATGTTCCCCATGTGCGACAAGATTGAAGGCATATTGAACGGGCATGGGTAAATTCCTTGATTTCCGTCACGAGCCCAAGCCTGTGCACTACGTTTAGGATACCAAACCTCCAGCATAATGAAAGCTAATGTATGTGGAGGTGATCGGGTCCATGGCTTACAGTATGTGTTACCTTGTTACCTAGATATACTTTGAGTGCAGGACCGCGCAGACGCTGCTCTGTTGTCTGCGTCGGTTTGCACAACCAGCTAGCTACATTTGTTGGATAGGCTGAGTCTGGATTTGACCTCATTGTCGCCGTCAAAAACGTATAATATCAGCTGTGGATAGTG